TTTTTTTTTTTTGGAGTTGGAGTTATTCGTCTTTCTGTTCGCCGAAGCGTAGGATTAATTTATCGTTTTGTGTAATAGAACTGCAATTATGTAACGATCGCGTGGATGTTTGTGCATTCATGAAAATTTAAATATGTAGAAATATAGATACATGATACATGAAAACGGTTTGAACGTGTTATTTTAATCGTATATAAAAGATCCAAGATATAATTAACTAGGAGCTCTGCTTAAGTTCCATTTCTTTAATCGTATTTAGAAAAATATAAATTTAAAGCATCCGGAATTTATTGTGAACGTAGCAGTGAAATTAGATTTCCTACGTGCAAGGATTTTTATTGTCCTTTTATCTTTTATAATAATTTTTTAAATATACGTACGTTCAATGTCTTCTTTTTCTTTCCATGAAAATCATTGAATATTGGAATTATCGTACGACTTTCGAATTTTTTGCGAGAACAGAGAGAACCACGGGTCGAATGAATATGCAAATACGCGAATAACTTTCACGGTACAACGGTCGATCTTGTAAGCTCCAGTGGGTGGCGTGGGTGTTCATCAGGTGGACGTTCATGGTGCGTTAGCACGAAGATCGACCTTACCCAGATCGATCGATGAACCTCGATCGCCACCGCCTTCTACACCCACGTGAAACCGGCTAGTCTGATATTATAACACCCGAAGACACGCGTGTTTTCAAAGTTTGTTTTTTCTTCATTTATCATCCATCTGCCATTTAAGTCTATAGTACATCTAACTAATTATCTAATGAAAATAATCAGATGATGTAATTGTATAGATTAAAATGGAAATTTTAAAAGAAACAAAAAATTCTAGCATTTCAACTGGTAATTTATACGGCATCCTACGTTGTGTGAATCTTGCAAACAATTAATCTTTCTATCTACTTTGATAAAATACTTATAGAAAATATTTGTTATATTTATAAAGAGAATTCAATTTATAAAGAAATTCTCATTTAATTAATTTATTTTGCGAAGGATGTACTTTAACTTACTATATCTTTACTATATAAAAAAGGGTAAATAAATTTTTTCGCACGTTTCCCTAAGAAATACAAATATTACAAGTTCATTTCTACGTATAATCCGTCGCAGTTTCAATACTTTAAATGAATATTTTTATTTGTGAATATCATAAAAATGAAATATTAACATCTAATATAATAATATAAGGAATGCATCATTTCTCTTGAAACCCTAATATAACTGTGATATAACTTTCGAGCGGAAATATACACGCAATAAAAAGAATACTTTGAACCTTATGTTGGCAGGTTAAGTCAACTAACTTACCTCTCTAATCCTCATCGAAAGGAGGAGACGAGAGAACCAGACGCGAGAAAGAATCTCATGCGCGGTCGCTCGCGTGATGGACAAATAAGTGAGCACTCTCGAGTTGAAGCACTTCCCCGCGAAACTTACTTGGCATACGCTTTCTCCAGAAGAGCCGGCCAGAATTGATCACTGTGACGACTTTGCACGAAAGCCAGCCGACCGTGAATTGCCGGTAGCCTGTCGTCGACGAGAACTTCGACCCATGCACCGCACCACCATAACCGGAACCTGAAGACCCCGGCGTACTCGGCCGTCGGTGATCCAGGCGGTTCTCCGCTGTTCCCGAATCCTTGATCGGCCGGTACCACTCTGTAGAAAAGTCCTTTACTCAGGTGCAAGACGCCCAGACAGGAAACTAGCCATTTGTCACCTGGAGAACGAAGAACAAAGTATGATAAATGACATAAATAACTATAGAATATAAATATAATTAAATGTAATTAAAAATCATAGAATATAAATGTTATTAGTCATAATTATAAGATATATCACAAGAAATTCGGAAATTTATTACCCTTTGGAAATTTCTTTTTTTTCAGATGTTGAAATATATTTCTTCGTACTCTGAATAAAGTCTAGATTACCAACTGTAAAGAGTATATACCAGAAGGATTTGAGAGTTTTTTGGTAAGTTTACATAGAACTTCATTTTCTACGCCGTTAATCTTCTACGTAATGATTATGTAAGTGGAAGTAAGAAGATATAGGGGAATGTTCGACTAACGAGCTTACGCTGAATGGACTTTTACTGAATGAGAATGAAGACTTATGTGCAAATTGTAAGTACATTGATCTTCGAAGAATACAGTAAACAATGGAAGACGTACGAGTGTGTTACACGAAATAGACAGATTATAACTGCATTTTCTTCTTTGCACGTGTTCTTCATTCATTACACGTAGGATCGACAAATATGAGATTACGAAACGCTCATTACGACCCAAATTAACTGTTGGTATATTCCGCGCCAGCTCTGTTATCGTTAATTAATCAACTGCGGAATCACGAGAAATTTCGGTAATTGCATTGTTACAGCGGTGATTATTCGTTATTTCTGGAATTTATCAGAGAATGGTAAATGACAATCGAAAGTAAAAGAGCATTACTAAATGTGTAAATGCAATAAGTTCACAAATAATTTTTTCTTTCTTCGCGTTTAAAAAGCGAGTGGTATTAGTCAGTGATTAGACCTTCGAAAATGAAAGTTAACCGAGCGAATACAAATCGTCGTGGTGTGTTCGATCGAAGAAAATGTTCTCACGACGTTACGACACACCTTCGATCGAAGATTACGAATCTGTTTCGCTTCTCCATGAAGTTCATCAGTACTCTGTTCCATAATTTATCGACTAATATAACTTTAACGCCTCTTTCTCCTTGGATATTTAT